TTCGGCAGCAGCTGTCATCTCGTCGCGAATGTGGTGCCACTGTGGCTATGCATTCCACATTCCACAGGCGTGCAGTGATCTCATTTCCCAACTCAGTTCCTTTCTCCACAGTACCGAGGGAGTGCTTATGGGGCGCTGAAGCTTGCGGTGGCTCGATCCTGACAAATGCTCTGCCCACTGTTACTACTGTGCTCTGTCCTGGACACCTCTTCTTGGTGGCCGCTGGGTTGGAGTTGGGCTACGCCCTTCTCCTAGCTAAGAGCCATAACACCAATGCACATGTGTCAGTGAATTGACCATGTGCTAGACCCGCTGTCTTTTGGGTGTACATTTAATCGAAGGCTATGGCTGAAGATCCGAGTCTTTCTCCTGTCAGGTGGGGGCACCCTGCCTGTATTCTAGTCGAAACTCTTTCCTCTTCCGAGGTTAGGAAGTGATCGATGGCCCTCTTCTCATATAAACTAGTCATGGGAGACAACAGGTCCAACAGGATCGATTCTTGTAGAGCATGAGCACCACGCATTGTCTCTGACAGTTAGAGGGTACCTCCCGGTGCTCAATGGTTTGCTACTGCCCACCTCAAGCTAGGCAGCCCCTAGACAAATTGATGTAAACCCGTGAAAACCCTCCTGCGTCGCCGTGGTCGCTAATGCGTATCTTACTATGGTCGTAAAACACATGTGGACTGTTCCAAATCTGTTAATGCTGTTTGTGATATGTCTATAGCAAATCCCAAACTGTCTCTGCACTCACATTCCCGAGCTGCATCTGCTCCCCACTGCCTTATGGGTTAGGCTGTTGAGCCAATGGTTCCGGGTGGAGTCTCTCAGGCAAACCTCCAAATCACCCACTGCCTTTTGGAGCCAAATGCTCTGGGCAGAGTCCCTCAAGCAAACCTCTGAAGCACAACGACCACCTCGCGTGCGATTGCCCACCAATGCAATCATATGCCTATGCGCAAAGCACTCAGCATCAGGTGCTGGAACGGGCACATACTACTGGACTGAAACTCGAACGACGCACTGCACTGGTCGAAATTGAACTGGCGCGCTACAGCATTGATATTGCGACGCTCCATGAGACTCGGCTTGCTGAGGTTGGTAAGTTGCATGAAGCGCGGGCCGGCTATACGTTCTCCTGGGTGCGCAACGCCACCTCAGAACCACGTGAATATAGGGTCGGATTTGTACTATCCGCTCGCCTCGATGGCCAGCTGGTGGTTGAGTCGACTGGCATCAGCGGGCGACTGATGTCTGTTTGCCCACGACTCAGAAGAGGTAAGCTTGCCACTTTTATAAGCACGTACGGTCCGACCATGTGTTATCCTGCTGACCCATCTGAGCAATTCTACACTCATTTGTCCTCCGTGATACGAGCTGTGCAGAGGAGCGACCGACTATTTCTTCTGACTGATTTCAATGCGCGTCTTTGGGCGTGATGCATCGATGTGGACAGATGGTATCCGTCCGCCTGACACTTGTTCGGTGAATGCGAACGGTGACAGGCTGCTTTCACTGTGTGCCACTCACGGCCTGACGATCAAAAGCACTCGGTTAGCACTGAGTACGAGTGATACAGCAACTTGGGCGCGCCCACGGAGTGGTCACGCTTACCTACTGCGCTATACTCATATATATATATATATATCCCCTTGCTGAGGCTGATGTTGCATTCATGATGCTTCTTCACCGCAGTTGGGCTAAACCAACTTACACTTAAACTAGGTCTTTTTAATGTGGATAAAATTCATTACATGTTATTTGTTTTGTTTTGCGTACTTGATAATCTTCTCCTTACTTTCACACGTCGCTCATGCAAATTGTGGTAAACTTGCGTAACCTTATCACGTGGTAAATTTTAACTAACTTTCAGAAAATTTGCACTTATCACGGCTTCACTTATAATTAATTTCTTCCATATGCTCATTTAGCGAGTATTTATGTCGTCATTTTTGTTTGCTTTAATCGATATCGGTATTTCGAATGATTGCCTGTTGTTTGACATCGCAGGTGTGGCTGCGCTTGATGTGCATGTTGACAAGATGCCTACCTGTCTGTTACCCACTACCTCGTCCATACTGGCTCCAGGAGACAGTTGGTCGTTGCTGGAGGGGACGGGGTGCACGGTCCTCGTGGTCGTGCTAGGCTCGAAGAGTGGTTCCATGCAGTCAGTGTGGAGCGGACTACGGTCCAGCCACCGCCTTGTGTGCGGTTGATTCCCCAAATACAGCGTGCTTGTGTTTGTCTGTGAAGGAGTGTGGGCCGGCTCCGTTGATGAAACGTGGCTCCCATCCGCATGCCTCCCGGTCTTATTCCTTCGGGTTTACACTGGATATGGGGCGTGTGGATGGAGCTGTGGGTGGTGCAGCGCGTGCCATTCGTGGTCCCTCTGTAGGGGCATGCGTCCTGTGGCTGACCACAGTGACAGGCAAATTCGAAACCGGATGTTGCCAACGATATATATATATATACATATATATATATATATATATATATATATATATATGTAACGACCAACAATCATTTGGCAGAGTGCCACAACACATGTGTTTCAACGACAAATGGAGGAAAAGTTTCAGGGGAAAGGTTAGAAGATACATGTGTTGTGTGAGTGGAGAGCTTTCTGGTTGCCCAAGTCGAGGAAGGGGGTTGACTTAGAGGACCTTATCCCAAACCTTTGGTCTTAAATGTCTTATCCGCAAGGTGGCGGGAGAAATACGAAGACCGTTTACGGACAGGTGACTCATTCGCCCTCTTTGTTTTCGGTTGCAGTCCACAGAGAAGCCGGTGGCCAGCACGGTTGTCCATCCGCCCTCCATTAAATACTCACCTCCAGTTATAGAAGTGAGTTTTCAGTGACCTTAAAGCCTGTCTTATTGGCTTTGACACAGTGCCGTACGATCTGTTGTGGTATTTGATGGCGATCCAGGTGACCAACCCAGAACTCCACGCTGTGAGATGCTGCCATTGATTGTCTACGACCGCTTATTTATCTCGCCTGCAAAGCAGACGAGACTTATTCGCAGTTACCACAAGAAAGGCATCCACCCAATTCGCCACCTCGGTACGCTCACGATAGGGTACAACTCCGCCAGGAGATGTCATCGTACGTCAGCGTGACACGCGTGAATTGCGCATGACACCTGTACTGCGTGGAGCTCAATGTGGCACTGTCCACAAATTGTTACGAACCAAACTGTACTTGTTTTCGTAAATCTATGTATAGTACTCCTCCCGTTACTCGGCGTAAATTTAACATTCCGATGTAATATACTGAGGCTCTTTCGTACCATGACAATCGGCTTTACCTTGTTATATAGCTACTCGAAAGATTGGCCATTTATATTTAAACTTCTAGCAGGTGCCTCCGCGTTGGCGCCTCTAACCCCGACATGAACGGCATTTTCATAAGCTTAGCTCAGCTCTTTGCATCAGACAAAGACAGAAAATGTAGCTATGCTCACTGTCATGACTGACATGTGAAACGGAGCATGATGCATCAAAATCATAATTATCGTTAGTCATCTGCTTGCCTGGATCGTTCGCTTTTCACGAGCTTTCCAGACCGACTTTTCTCGGAATACACGGTCCAACGTGGCAACTCAAAACGAAAGTTGCTGGACTTGTTCACCAAATCGTGGAAGCATTGTCGCATACTACAAACACTAATGTACTTGAATGCTGTGATCAACGCTAGGTGCCTAATCACGACTCGGATTCGTTGGCTTTGTGTGTCTGTGTGGTTCACGCACACAGTATTTGTCCGAAACTTGCCAGAATTCGTAGTACACACAGACGTACACTAACAAGTGGTTACTCCACTCACATCCTCGTCCCATGTATGTAAGGTCATTGACTATACGATGTAACAACTATGACTCATACTCAGGCGTACCAGCTTAGCAAGCTGGAGCTATACGTCACTGTCCTGGACAATGCGGTGGGATGGAAAATTTGAAACAGTTAAGTGTTTCGATAGTACGACTCCCTTGTTACTACCGGGTATGACAAGAGTGCAATTTTCCTTTACAAAATGTTGAAACCCAATATACTGAGCTAAATTTTCAAAATCCGTGTTCGTCATACAACAGATTTGACGGTTGGATCAAAGGATCAGAATTAATATCCGGAGCATGCATATTAAACGTCCCAGCACATCTAATCCAAATTCGTTTTTAGACTTTGTCACCACGTTCGATTGGAAGGAATTGTAGAGTTACCTACCCTCCACGTTCAAATGCAACATTTATGCGTCCGGCTGATGCAGATTTAGTGAAATTATCCTATACTTCTGGGTCCCGATGCTTTTCAATGTCCTAGAAACCCATGCTGTCGTGAGCGCAAGCTTACCTTTGTATTTTAAAAACGTAAAGACACATGGTAGAGGGTTTCGTTTTTTCTCCCTTCCACGCACTACAGGACGCATTTTGTCCTCATTTGGACTCATCAGGGGGGAGAGATAGCCTGAACTGGGAGTGGAACTCGGCCCACATAGTGATTGGCGGTTATCGCCATGATCACTAAGCCATGGAGCTCCGTGGGCATCGCTTGACACAGTGATTAGAAGTTGCTTTTCGGATTTTAGACCACCCGCTGTGTGTTTTGGATTGTGACAGATACAAAAGCAGTAACAGATAGTTTAATTGTTTGGCTCCATAAGGTTCAAGTGCACTGCTCTACCGGCGTATCTTCGACACATATAGACATGGTTGCTACAGTACTACAGGGAGCCCCGAAATACCGGCTATCACAGATAGGTATTGTAGCTTTGGTCGGTATGTGCCTGCTAAATCGAAAAACAGTAGCTGCCCACATCGCGATTCATGATATATATATATATATATATATATATATATATATATATATATATATATATATATATATATAATTTATAAAGTGACAGATAACAGGTGGCACCATAACGTTTGCGACCGTAGACTTTCCACTCAGTTCCATACGATGCAGCTGCTTCGATTATATCCCTTACGTGACTGTTTACAGAAAAGCAACCACAGCAGAGGTGAAGAGACGAACTCGACGACTTCATGCTCTGTTCCGGAGTTACACCCCTTACACAAACCGTGAAGGCTGCCAAGTTCGTGTATTGATCACTGAAGTCAGCCATGATGGGCGATTCTGGGTCGGTCACACCAAGGCATACGAACAGGTAAGTCTTGACTACGGAAAGCGACTTACGTCATACGTTGTACATATGTTTTCTGCGTCTTCCTTTGACCTCGGTACCATACGTACTTGATTTCGTGATATCTGCATTATATTAGCTGTGCCGCCTTTCATCGCGGTCGCGCTTTCGCCAAAGTCAGTATTTTTTGCGCCTATGTTTGCACACGGTGATGCTTCTGTTCCCATTCCTATCCTACTGAACCTCCCTCTGTTGTATTTCCTTTCGTGAGAAGTTACGTCTATCCTGTTCATTAACTTCCTATCCTTGTCTTTTGTATCCGATGTTCAATCGAGCACATCTTCCACTCCCTACCGCATCACAGGTTCTCGTTCCCATGCTTCCCGAACTACTTGGTCGTATCGTTCTTGTGCGCATCGTAGAATCAAATAAGTTCTGCATGAAATCTGAGCTGGTCGATACCGGACCTTTCGACTCCTTAGTGCCCAGTCCCGTGCCATCATCTTCAACTAACCTCGCTAATTTGCCTCCGTTGGAGCAACAGCCAACCCCATTCCTTTCACCCACTACCCTAACTAATGTTCCGGAATATGCTCTAAAGAAGTGTGACAATTCCAGACTGGTAAGCACTTCCCATTTGCACATACACCTTCAATATCGTCCTCACTTGTAGTTTGATTGGTTGATCAGCTTCGACCACTACCATGCTGTAACTAACTTCAAGCCTCTTTGCCATCTGAAGTTTTGAACTCTCCGCCGCATCATTCGGATTTCCTTGTATCTGAATTTAACCACACCAATGACTAGTTTACAGCCGGTGCTCATTTCTCACCGCATTTGCGGTCCATTTTCTGCGGTTACTACTTACGTTCGTCACATTTGTATAAGCTCATAACTCAGTGCTGCTGTTAACCTGCCTCAATTGGGTTCTCGATAGTCCTCGTGTCCGACTTAGTAACTGTTGCAGATCGTTTCCACTGGACCTCGTAGTTCTCCGAATTTGAACTAGATGACACCCTGCCCCTATGTTTAGCTCAGCTCATTTGCTTTATATCGCGTATTCTGGCAGTGTCTTCAGTGGGAGGACATCGATTCGGTTTCTCGCTAACTGTATACCATCACCACCCGTCTGACATGTGCTTGCACCTCGCGATACATTTCTTTCGAAACTCACTTGCGACTGACTGTAGTAACCGTTGCTGTATACAGGAAAACGTAACTTGACCACTGGTCAGCATGGAGGTTCTGTATAAACTCAGCGTACCTTACTTCCCCCGTTGTGAGTAGTGTATTATGGTATTTATTTTCGCGTACAGCCTGTCGAATATACTTTAGATGAACTCCTACATAACGGTAAAAGCATGTTCCTAACTCTCCAAGTACTCATCCTTATGCCGCTGAATCTTTCTAACCTATCTTGCCATCTGTCGTCTATCTTAGGTTGCGACTTTCCAGAAAATGTAGAGGATTAAACTTCAGTATCAACTCTTTCTTTCCATTGGGACATAATGTCGCGTTAAATGTAATAGCCCGAGTGGATTCCAGGTCTAGGATACTGCTTACGGAACAGTACTTACATGTAATAACGGTCCTTAATTATTTGTTTTCTCAGGTGGCGCCAAATAGTGCGGTATAGGGGCTCAACTATCATTGTGGACGTAAATTTTAGCGTCGCCACAATCCAAGAGGCTAACGAACAGGTTTTGAGCAGGCTTCCTTAGCGCCGGCTTTAATCGAGGAACGTTTTTTTCGACAAATGCATATCTGGCTTGAGAAATGAGTCCTACGGGCATTTGCCAAAGTGGGGCGAATGCCCCGACATAATATTAGGCAACTGGCTCAATAGCACCTCGTGGAACTCGGTCAAGGACCGCACTCTCAGTGCGTGTCATTGATTGCGTTGGGCAGACTGCACCTCGTATACATACATCATACACCCGTATGATTCCTTGCACAGCTCGGAAATTTCCAGGCTTAAGAGTCCCAATGACAACTTGCTTCTTGCTGAGATGGGCTGGATATATCTTCTTTTGTTCAAGATGAGCGGTTAATGTACAATAGAGGAGGATGTAGTTTATGCATGGTTTCTGATGACCGCTGTGTGAACACCGACGCTGTATTTATCAAGTTTGTTTTTGTAGGATTGGGCCACCAGATGTGCGTCACGCACAGCAATATCCATCACATAGATAGTATCGTCCTGGCAGATAAATAGATCTGGCTTGATGTATGTCGTTTGCGTTTGCATGCATGGTTCTGGGATACCTGTAAGATCCCCGACGGCGTGGAATCGTTGCAACTTGATTGGCAATGTCTTTGTGCCGTTTGAAGCTTGCATCAGGGGTTATGGTGCGAGAGTGGAGCACGTGAGAGATAGATTCGTGTTGCACGCATGCACCGCGACAATTGAAATCGGATGGAGAACGCAGTGGTCTGCCACTGGCGCGTCTGACTTTTGTAAGGAGGACGCCTGTGCGTACTTGAGTTGTCCTGATAAATAGGCGCGAGAAGACGCCTGCAGGTTGTCAGAGCCATCAATGAGCGCTCAGAATGTGGATTGCGACCTGTGCATCTTCCTGTTGCACCTTCCCAGGAGTAAGCGCGATGTGTGTTTGTGTGTGTGGAAAGCTTCCACACTTAACGGTATAGGTTAATTTATGCACCTGGATCTGTGAAGACACCTTGTGTGTGGTAAACATCGATGTGCCGAAGACTGAGGGGTGCGGCCAAAATACGCACGCACTTACACAGATAGAGAACCTGCGGTGTCGTCATACGTCTGCTGAACCGCATAGTGCGCATTGCGAAACACCGCTTCATACACAGTATTATCTGAACAACCGATCGTTCGACGTCCACCGTTACTTTATAGAGGTCGAATTAATGGTGATTGTTATGGCCCAAAAGGTCAACATACCGAGGGTTTTATAAGAGTCCTTCCATTCTGCTCAGTCGCTCGTAGATCAGCCGCGCAGGTCAGGGTGAGATTGGAACGCACTAATTTGCCGACCCACCAATAGCATGTAAGTCTACTGTATTTACTCTCCCACGCATGTCTGGGGGTGTGAATACGACGTGAGGATGCGTAGCGGTGCATGTGTCCTTGAAATATGTTAATTACTCCCGGCGATTTTGACACCGCTCAGTTCAGGTTGGATCGCTGCCGCCGTTTTTGGCTGGTGGTTTGCAACATCTCGACAGCAGTGCATAATGCATTGGCTACCGTGTTCGAATGTTGGTGGCGCTTCGACAGTTGCTTAATGTTATCCCAGCAAATGATAAAAGGGTTAGTGACAACATTGTTGTAGACAGAATGTCACCTTCACATAAACCACTTTAGCAAAATAAGAATTCGTAACAATTAGACGGTGAAAATATGAGATGCTACTTCTGCATAAATGAGTCCGGAAAAGCTGTCGTTGACAGACTACTCCCGTCACAGTCTTGATAGCAATTGCAGGAACCAAGTGGGGTGCACGCTGTTTAATTTGTTTAACATTGACCGTGAAGGTGTAACATGAAAGGCTGACAGTGTCGCTCAGTCTCTCAGGAAAACGTAGGTGTATATCAATCGAAATGATCGTTACATGCTGCCGTGTATGCCAATTATGAGACTACTCGCTGCACGTGTTTGTGGAGAAGGACTGCCGATGAAATCGCATTGTATGCGTCATTGCACAAAAACGATCGAGGAGCTGTATTCAAGCTAAGCCCAAGAAGATGCCAGCAATTGCACATAATCGCACCCTGTCCGTGTATTTCAGAAACAGCTTGGGACAAATTTGTGGGCACGTTCACATCCCTAGTCGCGAAGGCATCAGAACCGAAAGCTTTTCATCCTCCCCTCAAAACGAAATCGTTTCAGAGAAGCCGAACACGAAAATATATGGCCTTGAGGGACCGGACTTGGCATGGTTATAGAAACAAGCGCAGTTCAAAAAATTGGACGGTGTACGCAACTCAGGCGAACGACTCGGTGCGTGAGGACAACTCCACGAACTAGCAGTTTGATCCGGCGTAACATTCACTGCGGAAACGGTACTGAAAATGCCATTATCCTTGCGTACACACAGATCTCTTGCAGTGGACAATATCCACCCCAAAAGCACTAAAGGTAACAATCACGCACCTAGCCGGATTATTTCAGCCATCTCTGGACTGCAACATAGCTCCGTCAAAGTGGAAACTAGGTTTCATCAATCCTATTCACAAGGGAGCAAGTCGGTACGAGCCTGCCAATAACCGCCCGGTAATCTTCTCCCGGTGTTCGCCAAGTTATGGAAGAAATTCTGGCCGACGCATTGACGGGCTATGTGGAATGCCATGGTATCTTTATCTACGATCTAGCCAGTGTAATCACCCCAACCCTGTCGGCCAACGAGACCTTTCGGCGCTGATGCCCATCTATAGGTACAGCGATTTCTTCCTTGTACGCTGCTTACGTTAACGTTTTGTTCTCTTCAGGCAACTCCCACAATATTCCCTCCACACTGACGCAATATCGGCACCATTAGCCATAGCAGCAATTTAGTCCTGAAGTCAGTGGTTATGCGAAAGATGTATTGAAATGCAGTACGTAAAACAAGTATAACAATCAACGCAGTAGATGCTCGAAATGCCCACCGCCGTTTTGCTGGCACAGCAGCATTCGCCGGATGCTGTTGGCTATAACCCTCTGCAATGCGTCAACCGATATCGCGCGACATTCTTCCACGATGCTCCGCTTCAGTTCTTCCACACACATGGGTTTCACTTTATAACCTCTTCGTTTCAGGTATCCCCAAAGGAAGAAATCAAGGTGATTCATATCCGGTGAACGTGCTGGCCACTCCATTGGTCCTCCCCGACCAATCCATCGAGGACCGAATATGTCGTCCAGGACCTGACGCACGGTTTGTGCTGAATGGGCCGGTGCACCATCCTGCTGCCACCAAACGGTACTCAACAGTCCTTCCACATGCGACCGCGGAATCACCCACGTCTGCAACATTTCTTTGTATGAAGAGGCTAAGAAGTGTGATGTATTAGTTCTGCTACACAACTTACCCGTCACATTTTGAGTAAAGAAGAAAGGTCCGATGATTGTTCGATTTGTTAGTCCTGCCCAGGCCATGAGCTGTGTGCCATGTTGCACGCGGGAAGCGATGCATTGCCGTGGGTTATTGGTGGCCCAAACATGCTGCTTCTGTGTACCATACAGACGGAAAATGGCCTCATCGGTAAATATGATGGAATGCACGTCCAAGGTATTCAGGTACAAGCGAGCGAATGTAAGGCGATTCACCGAATCGTCGGGCTTTAACACTTGTACCTGTAATGCACCATACCTTCGGAATTTTCTTTCCTTCAATATCCGGTGCACAGCATATGGTGTAGTGGCACAGTGTTGGGCGATCCTCCGAATGCTGAGATGACCATTTCGACGAACCTCTTCGAGAATAACACCAGCGGAAATCTCATCCGTGGTAGTACCAGGCCGCCCAGTTCGTTTGGCGTTGCAAACGCTCCACCACTACCACTATCCGGTGCACAGCATATGCTGTCGAGATGTTGCAAACCACCAGCCAAAAACGGCGGCAGCGATCCAATCTGAACTGAGCGGTGTCAAAATCGCCGGGAGTA